TTGTTTTCCCTTTAAGCAACCTTGTGTGAATGTGCCTGGATACTCACATTGAGTAGTAACTGTGGCAGTCTGGACCCCATATAAAAACATGTGGATATGATACCACACACATAGCCTATTATATCGCCTGTACCCTGAAGAAAAAAAAAAACAACACATTAGAAGTTGCATCTATATATTCTGTATTGATATCATTTCAGTACAAAATAGCCATGAATACGGAGGGCTATGGCACTCATAATGTTATTATAGGTTACTAAAGCAAATTGGTCACTGTAGTACTCATGATGTTATTACTGGCAAGCAAATTTAATGAGTAAGACAGTACAACATACAGTAAAAACCATGTACTCAAAACAAAGAAATGAGATCTTCTTATGTCATTGTCTGCTAGAAATGGTGAACCACTTCCGAGTGATTATCTGATATAATCAAGATTGTGTGGTTTCAGAACACATCTTCAAATGATGTGATATCGAATATAACGAACCTAAATAAAAAAAAATAATATCCCATTGATCCCCCTTAGATTCTCATTTGATGCAAATTCAAGAAAAACCTATGCCAAACAGTCAAGAAGGTTGTTGTTCAGGCCCACTGCAAGCAATTTCAAATGATGGGGTGTCTTTTTTCAAAAAGAGGACCTTTTACAATGAAACCCTTGTGCACCTACCAGCAGATCAAATTTTACCAGAGCAAACTTTTTCACAGCAAAAAAAAAGGCAGTTTGTTCCAACCCCCGAACCCGACCTGCTGTTGTGAAAATGGCAGATCAACTCACTGTGAAAACAGGTCCCGGAGTATGGTGTTCTGTTTCCTGTAATAGTGTCCTACCAGCAGGTCTCATGTGACTGATAACTGACACTTGTTCTGTGGCAGTGGCTTGGAATGGTAATAGACTGATCCCAATGTACGATATGCCCCACAGGGCAAATATACACTGCAGGAGACGTGAGTGGGAGACACCTTCATCTTGAATGTTAACACTGTGGACTAGAAAATAAAGTTCAACATTATAATGAAAGATAAAATTAAATCAAAGAAACATCTTTCAAAAATAAATGAACAAACAAAATGAATAAATGAAATATGGAATCGTCTCTGGGAAAATCTTTCAGCTGATATTTAAATGTGCATGCATGCATACACACACACACACACACACACACACACACACACACACACACACACACACACACACACACACACACACACACACACACACACACACACACATATATACATACATACATATACATGTAAATACAAATGTACATACACATGCATAAATGCAAAAATACTTATGTGCACTCAACCCTACTAAGACATCATTCAATCTCACCTTTTAATCTTCTGTTACGTCTCATGTGTTTCCATTTGCAGTAAACATACTGACCAAGCAGCAACATATCAATCAGCACGTAGTAAATAGCTGACCATTTCTGAAAAGATGAAAATTTACTCAACTTCTTCTTGAATCAGTTGATCAGTTAAAAAGAGAAAATGGCAAATATTCTTGAAGTGTGATAGTAAATCCAATACCAAGGTAAAGCAACTAAATGATTTTAAAAAGAAAAGTATGCAGCGGGTAAGGAGAGGTCATTACATGTCATTTCTTATGGCTCGGGGAAAACGAAAGACCTTATCCTTGTCGAAAAAAAAAAAATGTCAGACTGGGCACCCACTATCCTTGGGAATGTTCAGAGCAAATTGATCCGCAGGCTAACAGACCCATGGCTCAAATATGTCCAATCCACTTCAAAGCTTGCTGCATAATCCCCTTATAGACACTGAATAGATTCTTAAAGGGGATAGCCTGCTTAGCTTTCAAGTGGGTCGGCCATATTTGATCGGTAGATCTCTCAGTCTGCGGACCAACTTAGGTTGTGAATGGGGCCTTTGATTTGAAAACCAACCTGTAGTGGTAGCTGGTCCGTCAGAAAGCATCCAATCAGGTTTGTGGAATCTCCCGCCAGCCAGCACAGTATTAATCCTATAGAGATCGCCTCATCTACAATGCCTGTCCTGCAGTTGGTTATTAGCTGACTGGAAAAAATGATCACAACAAACATATATATATATATATATATATATATATATATATATATATATATATATATATATATATATATATATATATATATATATATATATATATATATTGGAATACCCTGTACAGCAACCATGCAATGTATATGTGACAGCTTCTTTTTCAATTTTTCTAATGCCCACACTTACTAGAGTCTGACCGATAGTTGGTCAGCAAGTTTGATAGTGGTTCACAACAACATCACAAGTGTGCACAGACCCGTAGCCAGGGGGGGTTCGGGGGGTTCAAAAGAACTGCCCCTTTTGCTGGAAAAAGGTCCACTCTGGGTAAAATTTGATCTGGTACATGAAGTTTTTATGGGAAAAGGTCCACTTTTTCAAAAAAAAAAAAAAAAAGGACCCCTCTATTATAATTGCTGACTACGGGCTTGGAACATCAACCCAGCAAACAAAATGTTTTTATAACATTACCATACCATTCTGGTAATGCTATAATATTCTAGTAACGTTCTGATACAGTAACTGTTATAATAATGTTCTTTTAATTTTCTGGTTCCACAGAATGTCATTGTAGTCAAAAGATTTATCTAATATTTGTGATGGGTCCCATGCTGACAATGGAGCAGATGTCAGCAGGTCAAGCAATTAAACCTTGGAGCCGAGATTTAATCCATTTAATGGAGAATGTCGAGGCGAGGAGACCATCAGAGATTAGGGGCATGGCTTTTAGTGGGTCAGGCATATTTAGTCCATGGGTCTGTTAGTCAGTGAATCAACTTGTTATAAATGCACTCCAAGACTCCTCAGATGCCACATATGGGGGCAACTCTAAAACCCATCTGGGACCCTAAATTTTGTTTACAAATTTAATTTTCCAAATTTATTTAAGAATTTCACAAAAAGGAAAAGTGAAAATAGCATCATTGTAGGTAACTGTTTATAGTAAATACTGAAATAGTAAAATGTCTGGAATAAATGAAGTTCGTAAGTTATGATTGATTAACGTTCATGCTTAGAGACCATCAAATATAATGAGGTTTCATTCATCAATTGATATATGTTATATGAAGCCATGTCTCTGTTCTTTTATTCATGACAAGAGGTTACACATAATGCAACACATACTGTCTATTATAAATACTGAAATAGTAAAATACTTGGAATACTGCAGTAAATGAAGTGCATAAGTTATGATTGATTAACGTTCATGCTTGGAGATATCAAATACAATGAAGTTTCATTCATCAATTGATATATGTTATATGAAGCCATGTCTCTGTTCTTTTATTCATGACAAGAGGTTACACATAATGCAACACATGCTGGTGGGTTTTATTTTGAAATACTAGTATAGTGTGCTGTATATATAAGGCAGTTGCATAGGACAGGTAATTAGCCAATCCCAAATACAGTTCAACTGAAACTTCACATAAAATCATATCTTATACAGAAATGATAAACATCAAAAATGACATCATTATAAAAAAATCCATACAGGACTCCCACATTAAACACTACTTCAAAACATTTAAATATGCAGTGACCCATTTTCCAGCCACTATAATTTACAATGAAGTTATAATGCTTCTCCAGTCACCACATCATACTTACGGGGAAGCCGCTATGATGAAAATAAACAGAGACAACATTCCCAAAATGACGGATATGTAGGTCTTGGTATCCAAGACGCACTCCCCTAATATATCCAGTATCCATGGTACCCCGCCAGTACAGTTGGTCTCCAGGTTCATGAGAGTTTTAAGTGCAGAGAAATTCATTGTGGTTTCTCTTCATCTGATGCAAGCTGACCTAGATCAAAGTTGTTACAGTTAAAACAATGAAGATGTTACAGTGGTGTCAGCAGCAAAAATATTGCAAGAGAACTGTAACTCCCTTTTTTTGATAGTATCATTTTTTACTAGTAATTTAACATATTGATATTAGAAAAAAGAAAATGGTTTGATGTAGAGGAAAAGGATTGACTTCATCAAGAGGTTTTTTTTTTAAGTTTGGAGGCAAAAAGAGGGCTACCAAATTACCCTGAGTATCACCACATCACAGTGAACTCACCTGTTACATGCCTTGCTGCAGATCACCCTGAGTAACACTACATCACAGTGAACTCACCTGTTACATGCCTAACTGGCACTACAGATCACCCCGAGTATCACTACATCACAGTGAACTCACCTGTTACATGCCTTACTAGCACCAGCAGATCACTCGAATATCACCACATCAAAGTGAACTCACCTGTTACATGCCTTACTGCTGTCACATCCAGAGAACCAGTGCCTGTGAATCAGCAAGGTTGCTTTTTACTCCATCCAATCTGCAAGGGAACAACAAAAACAAATTCTACCTTTGGAACTGGTTACTAAATAGATATCTTAACAGAGGCATCTGTCACCACTGAACCTTGAGCTGCTATTTATTGTCATGTCACTTGTTTTGAGCTGACTGCCCGGGGTGTCAATCCAAACTCCAAATTATTATAGTCAGAGTCATGAGTTTGGTCAAGGTCAGGTGACATGTTTAAGAAAGCAAAACTTGAAAAAGTGGTGAACCGCAGGTGTCTTTCTTTGAGATCAGATGACATTCAAGATAAGAAGGTATGTGTAAAAACATGTATTTAGATATTAATTCAAACCTGGGTACATTACTTTTTCTTTCAGTCAGTCATTCTTAGGCCATCAAAACACTTACATGTACCTAAATAAATAAATCAAAAATTTACTAAATAAATTAATTTGATATTTTCACCACCTAAATCTTCACAGATTTCAATGAAACTTGAGAGTAATCCCTGAACAATATTTAAAATTTTTGTTTCTTAAGTTATGATGTAAGCATAAAAACCCAGCTCTCCTATCCGTCAGGTGAAAGATGCAACCTCAAACTTCTCAAATCTCTCCAGTCTATATATATATATATATATATATATATATATATATATATATATATATATATATATATTGTAACTGATCCGGTCTTTAATGACTATAAATGACTATAATATATACTTACGCAATTTCTCCCACATCAGAAAAGAATACACAAATAGTAATAGACATATAAGTGCGACTGAACCTGCATGAATATAAATATTCCAGTGTCTGCAGAACAGCTGTAGTGTATATGAAACAGTTTCTATACTCCAGGCTACGCGAACTACGTAGCTTTCATGAGAAATATGCACAATTTTCCTTGAACTGATTGACCTTTAACACATCTGAACCAAACTTATTTTCTCTTCTTTTTTTTTAAGATTTAAAAGAAAAAATAAAAATGATATAAACTTTGCCTTAAAATTTTAAACATCTTTCATAGTTTGAGTGAAAAAGACAAACTTACCCCAATAACATTATAAATGCAAAGTGTATCAATATATTGTGAAGGTAAACAAAAAGTGAAAGCTTAGTACATGTACTCTTGAAACTGTTCTCCATGGCAGGATTAATGGGATTCATTGAGGATTTGGTCAAGCCCTTTCTGGGGTAGTGCTAGCGATTTTTTTCCTTACCCAAATCACTACTTTTTCATCATTTCTTTCTTCAAATGGTTTAAATTTGACTGAAACAAGTCAAATCAACCATATTTTGTTAAGCCAATTTAAGGCTCCATTCACAATGTATGATCTGACAACTTATTGATCCCCTTACTGCCGACCTCAGTTCAAAAGCGATGCCGCCGATTCCTGATGGTCTCCCTGACTCCATACGTGCATTTAAACAGAATAAAATCTCTTGTTAGGCCCCCTGCAGCAGCAGTGGAGGTGGGAAGACCATCAGGAATCAGCAGCATTGCTTCCGAATGGTGGTGTTGTATATGACATTCAGCATACCAAGTTTTTTTTTTTTTTTTTTTTTTTTTTTGTACATGATAACAGCATAAATAAAATCACCACCTTCCAAGTTAAACTTTTTTTTTTGGTACATGATAACAGCATAAATGAAATCATTCTATCATTCAATTATTCTAAACTCTTTTTCTACACTTTCCCCTAAATTTCCACATCCACCTTTTTCCTCTTTTGAGGACCCAGTACTAATAAGTACATCCACATTCTGTGCTCCATTATGTGTTAGGGCAGCCAGTATACCGTATCTCAGAACTGTCAATTTTCCTGCTACGTGTATTCAAACAAGAGAGAGAAAGAGAAAGAGAGAAGAAGGCAGCACACTAAGTCTTTGTTGGTATTGACACTACAACAGGTGTGAAATAAAACGAGAAGATAATTTCTTTTAGAATTCTTGGGGGCAAATTTTTGTACGATCATGCCAGTAGTTCCATCAATCTGTAATTTTATAATCAACTGATCTCAGCCTGTTCTTTCTTCTGGGAAAACAATGTTCTAAGTCAATAATTATACACATACTACGATGGCAAAAAAAGTATTTTCCTCTTAAGAACCCTCTGTGAAGACTGCTGGCTAACATCCAGGTGTAACAGGAAAGGAAGTCCTAGGAATGGAAGTTTGGACACCAATATGATTAGTACACGTTAGGGTTAGTTGGAGAATTGGTGTAAGAATATGGGACAAATGCCACCTTTACAAAGTAATAGGAAGCGGAATACGGTTCCTAGCGGACTTCATTCCTCTTACACCGAACCGTGACCGACAGTCGAGACAGTTGGGAGTTTGGGAACGCCAGAACCATCTTTAAAAGCAATGGGATTGTAACACTCTGATAGAAGATTATTTATATAGTCGTTCTTAAAAAAGAAAATGGACAGATACTCACTGTCATAAAGTGCAGTCCTTCAGCGGTTCTTTTCTCCTGAGCACTGCTTTCTCTCTCTCTCCGTTTATTATTCTGACCTTGACCTTCGCTCCTGAGATGCCGGAAATATCCGAGAGTGTAACGGAAACGTCCGAATCGTCTCCTTGCAGACTCCTGTTAGGTACGCCATGTTGAATATTATGTGAAAAATCTGGCTTCATCTAAGTCATCATGAACATTGTAGACATCTTATTCTAGGTGAGTTACAAAGTATAACCATTGATATGTCTAACGAGACCTTTATTTTATTAATTGTAGGAGATATAGCTTGGCAACAAGCTACCGAACTTGGTCCTTCACTAAGGACTTCATTTCTTCCCTTTTCACGTTGAAATGAACATACATCCCCGAAGACATCCCTCTTATACACCGCAAGAGCAAGCACCGGGTCAACAGCAGCAAAGAGGACAACAGTCGTATCCTTTTAGATAATTCTGATGTTTGTTTTGTGTTATTGGACGTGTACTTTCATTGCTTAAAAAATGCCGGTCGAGCGGTTGACCCACATGGCGATCGCCGGTTGTTTAGGATGACGTGATATTAATGCCATGACAAGTGACAGAAAACAGAAAGTATTTATGAAAAAAGATGGGAAATAAGGACGTCTGTTAAGCAAAGATTGCTTTAAATCCAGTAATCGTAAATTTCATGTTTTGTCGAGATCTATACAAATCCTTCCTACGATGCAGTAAAAAGGGCGTCAGCTTGAATCTGAGAATGTTATGATTTTCTGAACACTTCAGTGTTATCACACGTAGGTGACTCATAACCACTTGTAGTATTTGTTGTGATTGTGATTGGTATTTAAATCCAGATTTGCATCTTATTGAGTTAAAAATTGGACAATTTTTGATGTCTTTGATAGGTGGGTGTGTCCACATGTGAGTATACAAATGCAAAAAAAAAAAAGATAAAAAGGCATGCATACTGACTTTTTAAATTTTCGCTTATGTACTACAGCACTGGTGACTCTAAGATGATGGTAGTTGTAAAACATGCTCATATTATGTTTGTGGAGACTCACTTTCCTTTCATTCCCACTGGGTTGAATCCAATTCATTATCTGGCCTCGGTATTTAGTAATTTGCAAATTGTGTGATATGAAATTATGGATAAGTGGAGACAGTTACTTATTTGATTCCTCGATCTAGCCACTTATAAAGTACCAAAATCAAATTAAAACTACTTCACAGGTAACAGATGAGACCTCTTCAAGCCTGCATAGCATATTAACAATGTGAATACTAACATAATGGCAATAAAAACATCGGGCAACCCATCTCTTGTTTATATAATTAATGGTATGGAGCTAAGTTGGTTACAACAGTATGTTTCTCCAGGTCATACATACAGGTTATCCTGGACTTCCACCCCCTTAAGGGTTTTTACGCGGTATATAATTATGATAGTGTTCCAGTAAATTGCACTGTTGTGATCTGTATCAGTAGTGTCATGTTGTGTGTACTCGGGAATGTTATCTTCTTCTCACGTAGCAACCTCATCACTGACGTAATTAATTCGTAGTGACATAATAGAGTGGAATCTTGTTTTTCATGCGTAGACATCAGAGATGACAAGGATATTGAATATTCATTTTGAATATTTTAAAACAGCCCTTGCAGGTGTGTATTTTTTAGCATTATTCTCAGAATTTTTTTTTTTTTTTCTTCCAGAGGATTTTTGGGAAAGATAATTCATTAAAACAACCAACTTTTTGTACTGGTGCGGTATTGTTGGCTGAAATTACTACATTTGGTTGGCGTAAAATAACACAAAACGAAGAGATTCAATATCAAGAGGGATGACTTTGATATCTCATCTGCAGTGATAAAAAGAAATTGTGCAAGTCATTATTATTTGAGCAGACTCAAAGTTTAGGATTGTTATGTTGCCGATTGTGGCACAAAGACAAATGGTATAGATCAGCAAATATATATTTGACTTTGTCCAGGAACTTGAATATGTGAGGAACTTGAATATGTTAACAAGAAAACCTTGAATTGTCATTTCTCTATTCTTAACTTCATACCTTTGCACTTCCTAACATCCCATTTCCATAGATTAGATCGACCTACTTTAGATCGACCTAACTCCCTGGGGGTTCACGCTAAATAGCTGTCAGCCGGGCGGACACGAAAGTTAATTACCTCCTTACAGCTTGTAGTAGGCAGGACGGACATTTTAGTTGGATTATCTGAAAGTAATCTAGTGAGACTCCCCGCGGGGATAGATCGATCTAAAATCTATGGGAATAGAGCCTTAGTATCCATATGTGTGTGTATTTTGGGAGGGGGGGGGAGGGGATGGAAGCCATCTTTTGGTTCTGCTGGATGACAGTCAGAATTTTTCAAGTTTACATTGAAGGGCATGTAATTTTTTTCTGTCTGAAGATGGTCAAAAAAAGGAGTTTGGATCAACAAAGATGGTTTTGCAGACTCGGAAAATATATCTGGATCTGCCCCTGGGGGGGGGGGATGATGGTCTTGTCAAATTACTAATTAAGGCATTCAGATGTCCCAAAGACTTGATATGATAACTGAGGATAATAGAACAAAGCCTCTCATGACACTGGCCATTGTGAGTGGAGTACCTAAACTGCCTGAATTATCACATAATGGAAGATAAATTGGTACGAATTGATAACAGCAGGAGTAGATATAGTCTCTGGTGGCTGTCTCTCCCAGTGTATATGTGGTGGAGACAATAGATTATGGTCACATTCAGAACAGATGAGCCTGGGATCTACTGATCTGTGGATCAAATATGGCAGACCATATTCCTGTTTTTATGAACTCATAGCAATTCGTAAAGATAAACATTTTTTTTTCTTGAAAATTTCCTCGTCTTTTGTTATCAGCTAACCTTGTAAAATACAGAAAGGTTTCCCAACTAAGATTTTGTAAGCATGACAAGTAGCAGAAATAAAAAAGAACAAATAAAAAAACAAACTGTTATGTTTATATTGGCTTTTTTGTACCTATGATCTTGTGACATATTTTTCAACAAGATGCAGTGATGTTTTTGTGGTTCAAGTGAAATTTAGCAACAGGAAGATGGGTAGTTGGCATGTGTGGTGTGCATATACACGGCCACGTGCTACTGTTATTTGCATGCATCTTGTATTAAATTACATCTTTTTTTTTACCTGCAACAGGTATTATCTTTCGTTTTTTTTTTCTTTCAATAATTGAAAATCAAATGGTATAATCATTTCATACAAAATATTGTCCTTTTAAACTGTAAATGTATGGAACCCATTTTCTAACACATTAAAAGTAATCGAGATGGAAGTCACTATGGCTGCAGTGCCTGTCCAATTCATTGTGTTATAATATGTAATGTAGACAGTAGGCATTTTAAACTGATGGATTCACCAGGAGGTAATTGTTGAGTAATAAGCGGAACAGAAGGCGTACTTGGGTATAATAGTATGTAACACAGACAGGAGGCAGTTTATGATGGTGGAAATCAATAAAAGACGATTCGTTTTGAGAGACCAAGGAAGTGAACTCGAGGGAGAGGGTCAGAGTTATTTCTATGTCTGTCTGGGTAGTTAAATGTTTATCAAAGCAGACTGGTAGAAATCTATTTCAATATTTTGTGGGAAATAAGATCTATTTGAATGAATGGGCTGGGATAGATGAGGATAGAAAAATTATCCATTTTCAAAAAAAAAAAAAATAGGAGAATGAAATATTATTCTAGAGATTAAAAAAACCTGTATTGAAGAGATCTGCAAGTGAAATGATTTTAAGTTTTATTAATTGCAGGGGTAATTGCATAAATGTTTCATAATATTATTTGCACAAGATTTTGTTTTACTTAGTAGGTTTGTGATGTATGTGACAGTCCAACAGCTAGGCAGAGTTTGAAGTGAAAGAACTTGGTTTTAAAGAAAAAATGAAATCACTCGTTTTTCTTGATGATTTTAAATGTAGTACTTGCAGTCACCGATGGTGAAATCAAACTGAAAGGTGCCCAGTAATGCTTACTTAAGGTAATATCTAGAAAATATTCCTTAACACAGCCAAACTTATTATGAGTAGAAATGAACTTATTTTATTGTTACTTTGTGATCTTTCAAGTGCCATTTTAACAAATGGGTTTTTTCTTAATCTTACAAAATGATTAAGAGTGTTTTTAAATCTGAGTACAGGCAGTAAAAAGGAAAGTAGGAAAATCCATGGCTACAGTTATGCCATTTATCATCATTTCAGCATGTCCCTGATGAGCTTGTTAATAAGATATGCTGCATTGGTTGAAAAGCTATATTTTACATAGTATGTCTTGTAAATGATGAATATCAGAGCCCTCTCTGGAGAGCCAAGACTTCCTGTGGGGATGCAAATGGTGATCCACCCTTCTCTGCTGATGTAATCTTGTGTTATCGACTTCATGGTCGGATGAGTGATCTTGAGGAAGTTGAAATAGGAATTTTCAAATGGATAAATTGGTTCAGATTTATTGTAAAGCTGAGGGAATCCAAATTGAAAATTATGTGGGGTTGAGATCATTAACTGTGATGAAAGTGAAATGTTTTTTCCTTAAACAATTAAAACATGAATGTCCATTTTTTCACACAACTGGAGAAAAATTGAAGAAACGTGAGCGTGTTCATTTTGTCTTCGTTATCCATATTTAATCACAGAAACTGCTTTTCCAAATTGCATTATAACTTGAAATGAAAATCTCAGATAATGAAAAAAAAAATAACAATCAGGGTTTTATTGAAGTCAGCAAGTTTTTTTACCTGCTGTTCTTTGAAGAAACCTTATCCATACATTGGATACAGAATTTCTGTATCCAACTTGATAAAGACTGAAGACAAGAATGTGTGCACCTTGAAGTGAGTTACTTGTCCTTGGCTAAAAGAACATGAACCAACAAGTCGGGGGCATCTCAGTGAAGTTGGCCCAAGCTTACATGAGCCATTTCTGTAAACAGAAGTAATTATTATACAAAAGTGATAACTATAATCAATATTTAGAAAAAAAGACTAAGAAAAATCATTTTGGAAAGGAAATGATTTTTACCTTGATTATGCACAATTGATTAGCCACCTGAGATTAAAGTTGGGAATTGTTTTTATCAAGATCTCTGGCATGAGAGTTCCATCTTGTCAATCTAACAAAATACGCCATTGTAAATATGTTTGTTAAATGAAATTGGTGCTATTTCCTACCCTGAGAGTCAAAGATCACTTGATACTTCTTCCTCTATCAAAGTAAGCCACCCTGTGCAGTCGTCTCTGCCAAAAACCTGATCCTCGGGGGTGTATGAAAATATGGGCCAGGTTTTGTGTTCCTATATCTCGCAGCCAGTGTTATTTGACCATCTGTCATTTCCGAGATACTCCAAGTAATGGCAGATTGATTCCTGGTAGTGTGACCTGCTGTGTCCTCGCCATCATGGCACAGGTGAACACTCGATAATCTCCCCTCATCCTCGGCTGACCCTTTAATTATATCCCTGGAACCTGTTTAGCCAAAGAATTTTAGTCTGAAGTATGGTCTATACTTAGTAGACTTAAGCTTAAATACTAAGACCTAAGATGTGTGGGTAGTATGGTTGTATTAAAAGGAAATACTGCCCCTTTTGAAGGAAATATATGCCGAGTTTACAAACCAATATTAAATATCACATAAGTGGATTTTCTGAAGTAGTTTAAATTCAAACCAACATTTGTGGTAAAGTTTTGTAAAACTGGCCTTAACTTGGAACACTGTGCTGTCCTCGTCCTCAGTGCTCTGGGGTCATATGTAAAATCATCATGTTCGACAGTCCACTGGTACACCAAAGTAGTCTTGGGGAGTATTGGTGCAACAAAGTTGATCAACAGGCTAACTAGTCCACATGTCAATTATGGTGTACACTTGACAGTGGATTCCTGCCTCCCACACGCACCGTCTCAGCGGGGGGCAGAGCAATTAAATCTCGGCACCATTACAAGTGGTTGGATCCAGATGTGATCAGAAGATCTGTTAGTTCGCTGATCAACTTGTTCTGAGTGCTCCTTAGGAGTTGAAATAGTCTGGATATTGACCTCTGCACTCTGGTGGTTTCCCCCCTCATGTTAGAAATTGCACATTAAAAGGCCACACAGCTTTGTGGTTTTTCGCCAGAGATAAACTGTCATATTTTCCGCTTTTGTAATACTAGCAGCAAATATTTCAAGAATTTTATTTTTAGCGCAGATATTATCTATGTAATAGATTGCTGTCCTTGTGACATTTATGCCAAATATTTTAAGTAGGATTTTTTTTTTTTTTTTTTTAATGCACAGAAATTGCTATGGCCAGAGAGGAAGAAGAGATGGCAATTGTTTGCTCACCTCTTATACAACAGCTGACACAGTTCATGTTCACTGCTCTTCCTCTTCAGAAAAAAAAAATTGATTTCAATTGATCTAGTTCGTATGCCTTAGTTTGAGTGGTGACCTGTGATACGAGGAGAAATGTCTTGTTGACAACAAAGCTGTGTTATGTTGACTCGGGCAGGTGCCCTGGGTTGATGCTATTGATTTATTGAGTCAGTGTCATGACCGGTACATGGCCAGTATTATGGTGACCAGTCCAAACAGACTGGTCAACAGCAACTGGTGCAGTTACGCCACTATGAGAGCTGCTGCTTGCATACTACCAGATCACTGAGAAATTTTCAAATTGTGATGTTGAATGTCCAAAAATGAAAATTTTAAAAAATGTACACACACACATACACACTGTATTTTGATATATTTCCTGGCAAGTTCTACATCCAGTAAAGATGGCAGAGCCATCTCAAAAAAAAATGTATTGATCTGCTGGAAGTATGTTAATAGATGGCCCACAGATTTAGAAACATGCTTTGAAGAAGTTTATTTCAACACATTAATGTCATTAGTGAATTATATTGATGTCAAAAATCTAATGTGGAATGTCATTTGATTTGGCTAATTCTTGCTTGGAAATTCCTTTATTGTTATTTTTTTCATTATTGCTGAGTGTTTAAGACTATTAGATTATAGTCCTTCTTTCAGTTTTATTAAATTAGACTGATTAGTAATTATGATTTATTTTCATGACATGTTAAAATATTTGTCTGTACTCTCTCTCTCTCTCTCTCTCTCTCTCTCTCTCTCTCTCTCTCTCTCTCTCTTAGGCATACACATTCATGCACGTTTCTTCTTTCTGAGCCTGTAAATTCTATCCTTAAGATGCATATTTTATATAGAACGAACAGGAAGTTAATTATATATATATACATGTGTAGATACTCTTGAGCATGTTATGTACTGTGCCAGTTAATAAGTCTTTTATATAGAATAAACAGGAAATTAATTACAGCATACCAGTAGTTCCATCTCCCATTTGTATATATACCTGTGTAGATATATTTGTGCATGGCATGTACTGTGCCAGTTAATAAGTATTTTTAATACACTGAGATGGCTATCACCTTAGTTGGGTTCTTTGAGGCAAGGGAGATTTATATGATAATGATAAGATTGTAATGTATCTGTGGTAGATAAGTATGTTTTTCTGCTTATTCATTTCTGCCTCTTTTGTGTTAAAGTTTACTGTAATTTGTGGCCAGGGAAAATCCTTTGTGATTCCTAACAATGCACCTCAATGTTCATGTGAAGGTTTCCATTTACTGGTGACCTTAGCATACAATAGACCCTGGCATGCTGCTTTACTCCAGCACACAGCTGTGCTTAAATTTCATCAGTCCAGTAAGACCTGTTGTGTGCTGTATATGTCATGTGACCTCAGCTTCTAAATATAGCAACTTCATGAACACAAGGCTTTGTCTGTGTGTACACGAGAGAATTTTGTGGATTTTTTTTTCTGTGATTTTGTTAACTAATGGTCACCAGCTGGCCACCAGTTTCGAGATGTTCACTCCTTGACCACCATGTTCAGAAATTACCCAGGACAGGCCGGGGCCACCGCCGCAGCGTTACCAAGTAAGTGTGAATTGTTTTGATTGCTTTTCTTTTCCCTTCCTTGAATGACGTCATGGCACAGAGAAAGAACTCACATGTGAGTTTTCTGGACTGGTTTCAACCCCCCCTTGTTCAGTAAAGGTGTGTAGTTATCTGTTTACACTCTCAGCAGATTGGATGTCTATATGAAGGAAAGTAGAATTATTGTGATTTGCTGAGGTTCATGTTTTTTGTGTGTGTCGAAAGACCGTGCTAGTTTGATATTGACCTGATTGAGTAAGCATTTAATATATAACCCCTAGTTTAGGGACAGGTGCACTCTGTGCCCCAGTTACATGGTGTTGGGTGTTTTCTTTGTGTAGAAAGTGTGGCTGTGCAGGTGTGGAGTGTTGCCAAGGTGTAAATGAAATGGTTGTTGGTGGTGTAGAACCACTCAGCTGTACAAGGAAGATAATTACTTGTGGATTTTCTGCTGGAAGAGATGTTTTTGTCGTGTGGGAATCGGTTACGTAACCGCAGCTAATACCTGTTTTCCTGGTATCATTGAGTGACAGTCACAATGAAATAATGTGAGAATTAGGATGATTCTGTGTTCTTTGTATAGTACAAGTAACACCTGAGATATAATTAAACTGGTCTGGCATCATTCCAGCATATAGTAAACTGAGTCTTATTTATATCTAATTGATGAATCTAATAAACAGAGATGATCTAGCATTGAATAGGTTCCATTGCCAATGTGTTCAGACAGTTTTGAAGTCAGTTTTGCCTCGCAAGGGTGATCTTGGACTTCAGTAGGTCTTCAGTTGAAAACTAACCCTTTTGCCCTGAGTATTTATACAATTATAATTGTTCTCCTGTCGTGGACAGCCATTACTATCTTGTACACACCTTAGAAGTATTGTAATCAACTTTGACCCCACTGGTTTTTAAGCAATATTACCGCCTTTTGTTTTCATAAAACATTATTGATTTTATTGCATTGGGTAAACCTCCTGGGAGAATTGGTTACAAGGCGAGCTATGTCTAGTCTGTCTGTTTCACAAATGGCATGGAATTGTAGATGTTACATGGAGTTCTTGTTCGAAGTGATAGTGTTTTTCAGTAGGTGATGTCTTTTGAATGTGTCCTGCACAGGGCAAATGTACTTATGTTTATAAAATTGCACTTTTTTTTTTTTTTTTTTTTTCGGTCCAGTGAATGGAAAAGTTAGCAGTTTCACATTCTGTATTTATCTCCCTTACCCCAGGGAGATGCTTCTGTCTCAGGAGAAATCTCTCTGGCGAGGCCACCGGGGCAGGATAAAAACCCGTTTCCATGGCAACCCTAAAACATAATATTTAAGACCATAAAGCCAGTGTTGTCCTTTTGATCCTCTGTCTCCAATCAGCGGTGGATTATTTATTGCTCTACTGCTTATTGATTTTACTACATGGATCCCTCAGAGCGCAAAGTGAAAGCTTTTATCCATTTTTATGTCCATGTAAGTCTTCTGTTGAGTATTTCTCGGCTTTCGTGTTTGTGGTTGTTGGGTTTGAGATCTATATTTTATAATGACTTATTTGGGTTAAGTCCAACACACGATGTGTATTAGTCAGACCTCTTATTTCTGAGCCAGACAGTAATAGGTGGGGGAAAATGGGTGTTATATTTTGTATTGAAAGATTTTTAGGGGTTGGGAGGTGACTTCATCCCTGTTCGGTACCAGTACATCCCACAACCTCCATTCCAGGAAATAATGTTTTTCTTCTTTGATAAAAGATATTGATATTTATTGTATTTAATTGAAAAGTCTGTTTTGCTTTCAATGCTGAGCTTTTTTTTATGGGGATGAACGCCTACATTGAAAAATGAGCTTCCTTAATGCTGATAAATTAATTGCTGAGAAATACATTTGAAACCTTTTGAAGGTGCTGCGTTCAGACTTCGAATGAAATGCAAGTATTTTATAGAAAGGTTGAGAATATTGAAGTAATAAGAGGGCTGTTTACTCCCACCCCTTCCTCTGTGTTAATGTCAAACAGTTGAAATCGTGCGCTGGCACTAAGCACATATACATGGGTGTGCAAGTCCGGGGGGGGGGGATATGTACAAACACGCACAGAGAGAGAAAGATCGCATTCGAGTTGAGCCAGAATCCTGGGGACTAAATATGGCGGACGTACATGAAAGAAAAAACGCCTAATCTTTTAATAGTCTCTCTGCCTCTCACACGCCTCCCCATGTGTCGTCCCAATGGAGCCGAGATTTAATGACTGTCCCCCCGCAGGGACGACGTGTGGGGAGGCGTGTGAGAGGCGGAGAGACTATTATAAGATTAGGCAGTTTTTCTTTCATGTACTTCTGCCATATTTAGTCCCCAGGATTTGTAAAGCCTGGCCCAACTCGTTGTGAATGTGATCAGAGAGAGAGAGAGAGAGAGAGAGAGAGAGAGAGAGAGAGAGAGAGAAGGGGGGGGGGGG